CGGTTTTAATTTAAGCTCTTCCATACTTGCTTGCATGGTTATAATTATTTCGGTAAGCCGAAATATTTCTGGTTGCAAGGTGCATTCTAAAGAGTCGTCTGTTTGACTTTGGGCATCAACGAAGAATGTATCCTGATCGTGTACTAAATCGTATGGCATTGGGACTGCGCCTGGGTATAAAAGAGCTCGTTTGAAAGTGCTTAATTTGGACGGACAACTAATGAAATCACTTTCCTTGAAGTGGTTTACACAAACGCGAGATGAATGACGTAGTACAACACCCCAGCTTTCTTCGCATCGCTGCCGTCTTAATTCGCAACTAGGTGGTTTAAAACATCGCACTAATTTCGTGTCCTGAATTTTATTGCATAAAGCGCACCGTTCAAACGTTTTGCTCCGTTTCATCTTGGTTTCCTTACATTAAATATTTAAGCAAAGTCGAACGTATTTACTTATTATTAAACTTAAATGTACTTACTTGCTCTCCTCGGCGGTTTATCTCTTAACAATTTCACGCTTATTAAGAAAATTTGTTGCTTGAAAAATTTGTGTGTAATTTTTTTTAACAAATTCAAATTTGAAAAAAAACACATTCATAACATAACATAAATTCATTTCAATTTGACATTATAGCCTGTTTCGTATGAGCGCAATGTCAAAATCAATCACACTTTGGTGAATACATTTTGATTGTAAGTGCTGATACTTAAAAAGTGACAGTGTTGATGTAAATTAAAACTTATTCATTCAAATTCGTTTAGCTTTTCGGTAGTTTAATTGTTAAAACTGTGCTCATTAGCTATGTCATTTACATTTTGGTGAGCTATTTCGTATACCACAATACTTTGGATGGCATCGGGTGAGATGCGTGATTACTTTTATTTAAGTTTTTGCGTTTTAAGGAATTTTTTTTTCTTAAACAGCTTCTACTTTTTACGCTCCAAAAAATTTGTTGGCATTACACGCGATTACTTTCCTGTCGAAATACGGAAGACTGCAGAGCTTCCACCAAATCGAAATAATGGCTGCATTTCTTTAATCATTCTGAACGTTTGGAATAAACTTTTTTGTTTATTTATTCTTTAGAACGTTCCTGATGATATGTTGACGTATATTTCAAACGCATTCTATTTATTCCGGCTGTGAAATTGGATTATCCGGAATGTATAAAGAAACGCAGCCTATGTGTTAGCACATTTTCCACTTGGAATACTTACGTGAGTTTTGAATATTATTAAGCTCAAGGCGTTAATTACACAGTGATACAAAAGTAAAAAAAAAGTATGCAGGGGTTCTCATATAGAAATTATGTTTTTTTATAGCCCATAGTATAGACACGACTATACTTATAGTTTTTCTCCATCACTTCGTTTATTAGTTTTTTACTAACAAATAAAATACAACTTTAGTATTCTTCAAGTTCCAACTTCAAGAAGTTATAACTTTGTTGTTTTTTGGTCGAGTTTCAAATTTTTTCTCTATTTGAAAAACATGGGTTTTACATTTCTAACAAAGAAAAAAGTTTGAAAATCGGCTTAACAACTTAACTCTACATTTATGCAATTCAAATTGTAGAATATGTGGTTTCCGTGCACGCATAGTATTCTGGGTTTTGGTATAACATAGAACATAGGAAATTCTCAAACAAATTTTCGATTTATGAAACATGTTTTTTTTTATGAATATATGAATTTTCGAAGGTATTTAATCCTGAAAATTCAGTTTATACTTTTATAACTTGATTCTACATATCGCGCAATTTCTTCGAAGGTGTACTAATTAAATATTTACCTTATCAATTTAGTTGAATTGAATTTTTTAAATAGATGACAACCCGCTTCAAAAATATGTTCGACAATAAACTTTATGAAACCTCTTTAGTTTAACACCAGTATTGTAACATTTGCTTTATTATATCAATTCAATAATTGAATAAAACTTTTCAAACAGGTGACAACCCTCCTAAAAAATATTTTTGGCAGTAAACTTTGTTTTAGTTTGATGCCCATATTGCAGTATTTAATTTTTCTTATCAAGTAAATCCAATTAAAATTTTCAAACAGGTGGCAACCTTCCACAAAAATATTTTCGGCTGTAAGCTTTATTAAACCTCTTTCTTTGGCAGCCATATGGCAATATTTACTTTATATTATCAATTTACTTAAACTGCAATTTTCAAAGAGGTGGCAACTCTCTAATTATTTTTTCTTATATTTTAAATTAGACTATGAAGTGCAAGTTTAAACCGCCTAAAAAATCGCGTAGATTTTTGAGAATTTTTTTTTGAGACAGCTTTAGCGGTTTTTTACAAACTTTTTTATATATGGGTGTTTCCATGATGTCGGACGGGACATTCGTAAGACTTTAGAGTTAAATAAATCAAACTAAAACTGAAGTCACTTAAAAAAGTTGCAGTTGTGGGGCTTTTATACCGTCCTTTGGTTGTCAAAAAAATTAGGTGCGCTTGGAACACTGATTTCGAGAAAATCGATGAAAAGGAGGTCACAGAAGTGGTTTCATACTACATGTAAAAAAAAAAAACTCTGCGAATCCTATTAGGTTTTTCTTTCTGAAACATTCTTTAAATAAAGCCAAATTACCGCTACAACCAATTCATTTGTAATCAGAAGCAATTCATTGTTGGCTTAATTATGAATTAAAATGCAATAAAGGCCGTGACAGATTTTTCCCCCATACAATATTTTTATTAGTAACACGTATTAAATTCAATTTTTTATTTAATTTTTTTCAGTTCTTCTCTCCACTCTTTCTTGATTTCATAGTCTTTTTGCGCCATCTGGATACGAAAATTAAAGTTATAAAGCCGTTGGAAATTATTTACTTGCATTCAGTTCTGATCGCCAGTGTAACTTTGTTTTGTTAAGCGAACAAACCAATTTTTTGTTGAATGCATTTAGTTTTATTTGTCCCCCGAAAGATACACTTTTTCTTTCTCGGTTGTGCCCCAAGTCCCCCAATGTGTTCTTATCTGTACCCCTTTCGGCATTTTAGGTCTTGCAACCCTACTCGAAAAACGTTACGAATACTGACAAAAAAAATCAACACGTGGTCATTTGTTTAGGTCACTGTAAATAATATTTAAGAAAGTGTTAGTTAAGGGGGAACTAAAAAACCTTTTAAATACATACATGTATTTGCCTGGAACCAAATAAAATGCAACAAGTAAAACTGATAAGTTATGTGCTCATTAGTCCCCTTTCAGACACGTCAAGTCTTGAAAGCAATTTTTTTCGCATTCTCTTTTGTGTTTTCTATTTGCTTTCACACGCGTCAACTTTAATTGAATTCAAGTCCTTGGTTCTTTAAATGGGAAGCAACGAAAAGATCAAAAGAGACAAGAAAACTTGAAACGAATTGACGGTACGGAGGTATCTGTACTCTTCCCCTCTCTTCTCACCTCCTTCGCCTACGAACGAGCAGACTTGAAAGCAAGACTTGTCGTGTCTGAAAGGGGACTTACACGTGTTTGTGTTCTTATCACTACAGTTTTATAAAAGCGGTTTAAAGTCTACACCAGACTATGAAGAGTTTATTAATCTATGAGAATGGTTTTCTTAAAAAAATTTCATGCGAGAAGTCTTCTAAAGAACTACTAGAAATGCATTAACATTTGGGTATCTAAGACGAGCAAGGGTGTAGTAGGGGTGAAGCGTATGTCTTGGAGGGTATGGACACAGAGAATGATTCAGAAAGTATTGAAACGAAAACAGGACATGGTAACTTCATTTTGGTTGTTTGTGTTTCCGACAGGGTAGGAGCATGATGTATTGTGGAACGATTTTCCGTCATTCCTTGTCAAATTTAGTTTGGAGACAAACCGATTTCTGTGACCCATAATTCAACTTCCAAATAGTGTAACGTGGCCAGTGTACATCGAATGCCCATAACTTTGATAGCAAAGGAATTATTAAACATTTTTTTTTACAGAAATATAGATTTTACTATGCCCAATAGCACCACCTAAGTTTTTCTGTTTTATTGCATAATTGATTCAGTAAAAAAAATATATATACAAATGTAACGTTGCCAGTCAAATAGTCGACCATACCCAGCCGGAAATGTAGTAATGCATTACATGCGTGATAAATAATATAATATATTCCTTGTGATTTCTCGATTATATTGTTGCTAACTATGTAATAAGCATTTTATTGTATTCAAAAAGTTCCAAACATTTCATATTAAAACACATTCATTTCTCGATACTAGGTAATACAAAATTGAATGCCCCACTTTTCTTAGGACATCGCCCTGGGCGAAAAAATACATTTTCGAATGTGAAAAGGATTATTTTACTGCTTTTAGTATCTTTTTTTTTTCGATTACTATAAATTACATTTTCCCACCGGGTATGTTTCTATAACGAATAAAATATCGATGAATGATCATTAATCCCTAGGACTCTTTGTGGAATTTATATGTGGTTACAAAACCAACAACACGAAAACGTTATTGAAAGCAATTTCGATGTAGATAACGACAAGGAATTCGATAATCATAAATTTATCGATAATCGTAATATTATCGATATCGATAACACAATTTATCAACAATTTTCATAGCTTGAATTATCGATAACGATTAAACGTTTTATCAAAATTCGTGATTGCTTTCGTTATCGATATCAATATTACGCTTTTCGATAAATGTATGGCTATCGATATATTATATATTTATATATATATTTCGATATATTATATATTTATCAATAAATTATATTTATCTATAACGAAATTGCTTTTAGTATCTTTGATAGATTTTGGTATTTCTTAAAATAATTATTCGAGCTCCGTAGTGAATTTAGCATACCCCCTCTTATTTTTCAGCATCGCATTGGCGATAAATTTACTCCTCGACATAGAAACTTTTCTACGCTTATTCCCTGGTATTCGGCCCAAGGTCGCCACTTTAAATATCAACTTTGGCACACCATTTCTACGTGAAATTATACGTTTGTTTGGATATATATCATCTTCTAAGCCAGCATTGCTACATTATCTACAAAAATCCAATGATCCAGCACATCCCGACAATTCAGATGGTTACACATCATATATGGTGGCGTTATCTGTAGGTGGTACGCAGGAAGCAATGCAAACTAGGCCTGGTGAATATCTTATTGTATTAAAGAAGCGCATGGGTTTCGTCAAATTAGCCATACAAACGGGGTGAGTAAGAAATTAGCCACACAAAATAGTAAATATGAAGGCAAAAAAAAAATACTTATATTTTCAGATATTTATACGCCTTTAGATAAAACGTGGTTTAGACCAGTACAAATGTTCTATAAAAAGTTGTTCCGCTATGCACCTATGCTCTTTAAGGGGCGTGCAAATACAGTTGTGCCATATAGAAAGAAAATAACGCTACTGGGTAAGTACAAGGACTAGTTAACACTAATGCTTTGATTTTTTGCCAATTCCAAATGCAAATTTAATATAACTCTTTTTTAAAAATTGTTATCCTTTTCAGTTGGCAGCCCTATTGATGTAAAAAGAACTACAAATCCAGATCCGGCATATGTCGAAGAGATACACGCAAAAGTTGTAGAGGGCGTGCGCCAGCTATTTGAAACTTATAAGAGTGAATATATCGAAAATAGTGAAGAAACACAATTCATCATAACATAAATTATACTTTTGTGTTCAAAATAAATTTAAGTAAAACTAAAGCTCTCTTATTAAATAAAAGGTTCAATAGTAAAACCGTTAAAGAAATTAAAAAATACCGGTTTTGCAATTCTATCAGCGAGTTTTGTCAGCACCAAATAGATTGGTGATTAGTGCAAAGAACCACATACATACATACACATTAGGAATGTTAATCCCGGGGATCCGGGATCCTGGGATCCCGGACTTTTTAAGGTCTTGAAAATCCCGGGATTCTTGGCACTGACGGCAATAATAGAAACCCTTATATATATAACACCGCGCGATAGTAAATTTGTAACCCAAATATCAATGTGTTCGCGAAACCATGGGCCAAATATAGTAAAATTGCGTTTTTAGTTTTTCACTCTGACGTCAGTTGTTCAAAATTGATTTAAAAAATTCAGAGAAATGTGCTTACAGAAAAAGTATGGGATAAAATTAAAGGGAAAATCCTGTAGAATTTAAACAGATTCAAGTTTTTGGTGCAGAAGGACTGGTAAGTATTGAAAAAGTCCTTTTAAAATTGTATCCTTGAAATTTCGCAATATTTGTTTTTGAAAAAAGTATATGTTAAGGACTTATATAAACTCGGTAACACCCTCGAATTTCGTCCTTCTAACTTTATCAGCTTAAAAAATTGCCTATTCGTGCTTGTGAATCCAAAAAATTTAACTTTTTTAGATTCTAAAAAAATTTCCTCTTGCATTTGGTACCCATATTTTTATTCTACATTGCATTGATTTTTTTAGATAATTTTTGGAATTTATCATTCTTTGAAATTAAAAAGTCCGTTAAAATAAATCCTGACATCAGAGAGAAAAAATAAAAACGTCGCTTCAAATAAAAAAGTAGGTTTCAAACCCATTTATTTATTATTTATTTTATGGTAGGAGAGCTTCTCAAACAACATAGAAGCAATTTTTTCGATTTAAGTTGTTGAAAAGTAATGAATATCCAAATCCCGGGACTAATCCCGGGATCCCGGGATTGTGATAATGACATCCCGAAAATCCCGGGATCGGAAAAAGGCGAAAAATTCACATCCCTAATACATATATAGGGAAATCTCACGACAAAGACGTGTTTTTGGTCGAAGATGGTGGCACACTTACCTTAGACAAGGCATTATCTTCGGTTTTGCATAAAGAACAATATTCCATCGCGATATTGTGTTTAAATGAAAACTTAAAAAATATATACTAAAAAAAACAGGGACGGTAATGATTATTTTATGATAATTACTTTTTCGCTCAACGGAAATAATTATTATTTGATTTTTATTTTTTCGATCACAAAAAATGATTATTTTATGATTTTTATTTTTTCGCTCAGAGATAATAATTATTATTGAGTTTTATTTTTCCACTTACAAAAAATGATTATTTATAAAACTTAAAATGCAACCAACAGAAATTTTGACCTGCAAATTGTGGGACTTATTCCCTTTATAAGAGTGTCGCTACCTCTGAAAAGGATATGCCGGCTATTACCCTAGTATAGCTTTTGAGTTTTTTGAATAACCATTACTCTTAAGTGAAAAGATAAAAATCAATATTAATTATTATCTTTGAGCGAAAAAATAAAAATCATAAAATAATTATTTTTTTTGATCGAAAAAATAAAAATCAGATATTAGTTATTACTTTTGATTTTTATTGCTTAATCTCGAAAAACAAAAATCATTATACGATTACAATAAGAGGTACGAATACAAATATGGGAATTAAGTTAACATTATTTTTCGACGCTTACAACATGTTGATATTTTTGGCTAAAAGTTAAAAAATAATAATTATTTTCCCTTCCTGAAAAAAAAACTAAAAATAACAACTTTCGTAGTTACATATGTATGTAACGTATACGCCCCGTAGCACCATAGGAAGTCATCTAACTGCCATACCTAAACAAAAGCGTCAGCGAGGTCTGGCTGTCAAAAAACTCTCCCATACAATTTGTATGAAGCATACCGAAACAACGCGGCGTCAACGCTGAGCGGTTGGAAAATCCGATTTTGACAGGGCGTTAGGTATTAAAGTTGACTGCAGAAAATGGCGAAACTGTCATTTTCGTGTTACACACAAACAAGCCTATGCTTATTGTTGGTGTTATTTCTGCATTTGACGTAGCGTTGACGCTTTTGTTTAGGCATAGCACTTCGGCGCTAACGCTAGGCGTCAGAAACCGCACCGCCCAACGCTTTTGTTTAGGTATGGCAGTAACACGTTTACTCGCACGCCTTAAGATAAAAAAGTTTATTTGCACGCCGTAACTTAAACGTAATTAAAGATTGGCGTGGAAGATTTTTACAAAGTATTCCTTATGCACATACTGGCTGCATTTCTTTATTCATTCTGAACGTTTGGAATAAACCTTTTTGTTTACTTATTCTTTAGAACGTTCCTGATGATATGTAAACGTATATTTCAATGGCATTCTGTTTATTCTGGTTGTGAAATGGGTTTATCCGGAATGTATAAAGAAACGCAGCCACTATATATTACTTTCTTCATTTATATAACAATTTTAGAATGAATCTCGAGTGTGTTAATAAAAATTGTAAAAGTGGAATTTTAGTTTCTCAAATCATATGCATCTTTTACTCAATGACGTTATTTTTTCATTTGTTGACACACTAGTTTTATTTTGCTCGATTCGTTCGGTTTGGCAAAAATTATCTTAAATTATTTGAAATTAAAAAAATCTTAAAATTTCAAAAATCACAAAATAGCTGCGACAGGTATTCTCATGATGCAATTTTTTTTAATTTGGTGGCATACTCTTGAAACTTCACAGATATGTTGTATTTGCTGGCAATGTCCATTGCCTCTGATATGAACATTCTATATGAAAACTTCCTAAAGTTATTAAAAACAAAAAAAAAACAATTGTGATTTTTTCGAGTGACAATGAAAAAATTCGTAATTTCGGTAATTTTTCGCTTAAATAAACGTTTTAAGCGTTAAGTACTATCTTTCAAAACCCAAAATCATAACTATGGTAAGTTATACACCATTTTTGGACCGATTGACGAGGCGTCACTGCTCTTTTAACAAGACATAAGCCGGCCCATTCTTTGGTGAAATAATTACGCTACTATAGTAAAATTATAATTGTTTACTAATCCTCCCTACTCTTCAATTATACTCTGTACCGTCGTACATACAAACCGAAATGAGTACCCGTTTAGGTTTT